AAGAGAAAGGAACTAGCATTTAATCAAATCCCTCCAGGAGGTGGCCCCAAGCATGCCGCGTACACACTCACCCATAGCAGCCAATACTTGTTTTATGGATGAGAAACTGAGGCCAGAAGTCTTGTCTCTGGGACACAGAGAAACGAATAATGAATTCCCAGGACGAATCTCTGTAGGCGTCCCAGGGAAGGAGCGAACTGTTTAATAAACGTTTTCAACAAAGGAAGGGTGGGAGGTATTCACCTAGAAGTGGCACAGGCAGGCCTCAGCAGAGCTGGGGGCAGAATGGGGGTCCTCTTGTCAGGGAGGTCAGACTGAGGACGTCTGCACTCCCTGCCCACAGCAAGTCCTGAGTCCATCCCTGAGCTCCCTTTTCGTAGGGTGTGCAAACTGCAGGTGTGCTGGCTGGGCTGGCTAGGGCTGGGGCCAAGGGGCAGAGGTGAGCATCCCCCTCACAGGGGCTCTTTTTGCAGATGATTGAGTCGAATGACATTTCAGAGGAGACAATCAGGACGAAGGAAACCGTGGAGGGTGAGTGGCCCCTGGGCTGGGTGGGACTCTGGGCTCTGGGGAGGGGCTGGCTGGCTCTGCCTTCCTTCTGGGTCACATTTTGGTTTGCATGATCTGCCATTTGGTGAGAGTCACCTCCTGTGTGCAGTGAACCATTTACTCCTACAGGGAAGGAGGCCGGTTTACGGAGGGATAGGCACCAGGTACTTTATTATTTGCTTGGTTTAAACCTTATTTTTAAAAGCAGGTCTAAACTTCAAGTGGTTCAAAGGGCATATAGCAAAATATTCCCTGTTTTCTATTCTTCCCTCCCCGAAGGCGCAGTGTTAGCTGCTTTATATCCCCTTTCCAGAAATATTTTGTGCAGGTACAAGCAACCAGGTGACACAGATGGTACTGTATTTTCCATTCTTTCAGCTCCTTCATTTATTCCATTTAACAGTGGATCTCGGAGATGGTTCCTTATCAGTAGTACAGTCTTTTTTTTTTTGAGACGGAGTTTCGTTCTTGTTACCCAGGCTGGAGTGCAATGGCGCTATCTCGGCTCACCGCAGCCTCCGTCTCCTGGGTTCAAGTAATTCTCCTGCCTCAGCCTCCCGAGTAGCTGGGACTACAGGCATGTGCCACCATGCCCAGCTAATTTTTGTATTTTTAGTAGAGACGGGGTTTCA